GATTTATTTGCTTCAAGATGGTAGCGAGGAGCCTTTCAATATCCGCCTGCACCTGGCCAAAGATATTCTCACCATTCAAGAGCAAGACGTCATCTGTGTGTCTGGAGAACCGTTCTACTCGAGTGTGAGTTCAGCAGTTCTCATTATAAGCCAGATTGATCCAGTCCTGGAAAATACAAAGCTATGACGTGAAACATCTGTTCAGCACATTCTGTTATTGTGGACATGTCAGGGACTGCATCGTCTACTGGAAGAAAGTGTTTAGTCAGTTTCCCTCAACATGTTCTTAATGTGATACCAGTAAGGTCAAAAATATCATTTACAATGGCTGAATCACCTGACTACAATATAAGTGAGTTTTAGAGTATGAAGACATAAATAGACACAATTTTTTCATTCAAATGTTATTTTATTAAGTAAAAGTCATATCAACATTTACCCTTTTAACATTTTTGGTCTTATAGTGCAAGATGCATTCATGCATATTATTAATAAAAATAATAAATAATAATACAGTAATAATAATAATTATAAGTATAATAAATATATATATTTTTGTGCAGCTCAGGATATAAATACATAGCTTGAAGCGTTACCTCAAAATATCTTGCCGCAAGAAACAACAGCGCTGCCTTTTTTGCGACTGAGTCATTATTCAGCTCTGGAATGTTTCATCACACATGTAGGAATTTGTTTGAATGATTTCATATTTAATCCGGTTAACCTGTGCACCTTTGTTTCAACCTCATTGTAACTGCCAAGTGTGTATTTCACTGGCATGTGCGTCAGAATATTCTGACCATTGTGTTGCATCTATCATTGTCCTTACAGCAGACAGCAGCTTTAGCGCTGGTTTAAACAGACAGATCATGTTGTATTCACTGCCCTTTAATTAAGTTACTGGCATTGTTGGCATGGTGCCGTCCCCCCCCCCGCCCCTACATGAAATCTACATGAAAAGGATTAATTAATTAAGGACCTTCTCAGTTTCATGAACCAAATTGAAATGAAAAGTAAACTACCTGTCTTCCTCAACACACAGACCCGGTGTGGCATGAAAGTGACGAGTTTCCTTTGATTCCTTACAGGAGAGAACAGTAACGATCCGTCGGCAGACAATCGGAGGGTTTGGGTTGAGCATCAAGGTGATTGCACAGTTTCTCACAGCTTTCACTCAGCTCTCACATTTCTTGCAAGACTTTGAAAGTCTTTGTGCTATGATTTTTTCATAGGGTGGTGCCGAACACAAGATCCCCGTTGTTATATCTAAAATATCAAAAGAACAGAAGGGTAGGCTGTTTATTTACTCTCTCTTCTCTCCTGCTCAGAAATAAGTTGTTTATTGGTTTATACGTTTGTCTTTTCTTTTGTTTGCAGCTGAACTTTCCGGACTTCTGTTTATTGGAGATGGAATTCTCCAGGTATGCACAGATACATAAATGGGGTCATAAGTACGAGATCATTTCAGTGTTAGGGACCCTTTAAAACTCCCACGGTGTGCCAGCAGATGTTTAGCGAGCGGCTTTCTTTGAGTTGAGTTGGAAATTTGAGTTGTCATTTTGGAGCAGTGTTATTCCA